CATCCCACCCCAGGGGAGGACATCCACCACACAGTAATCCATGCGTGAGAAATAAATGTCTCCTACCCCTAACCCTGCAGGAGACGGCACCTATGGTTTATTAATTTTGTCCTTATCAGAGAAGACTAGAATATCTATCCACTTCTTGATATTATAGAAAAGTAGAAAATTCTCCTCAGTTATTTTAAGACCCTGAGTGTTGGTCCAGCCGGGGCTTGAACCCTCGACCTCCCGCACAACAGTCCGGCGCTCTACCAAGTGAGCTAACCAGGAGGCGGTTGAAATTACATGCTAATCACTCTTAGGGGTCAAAGAGTTAAAAGAAGGTGAGAGGGGACCTTACATCACTGGAACGATTTTTTTCAATAAAGCCTTACTGTCAGGAATCTTCTGATTGCTTCTAACACAGGAGATTAACCCAAAAATATTCACGTTAAAACGACCAACAGACTTGAATCACTTCACAATTTAATGTCCATGCTACAAGGATCATTACAACTGCTACACCTCTCTTTTGACTCGCACAAGGTTTTGAAATTCTAATCTCATATCATACGATTACAACTTATTACTAAGCAACTAGAACAAAGGAACAAAATTCACTTTCACAGAGTGACAGTCACGCAGTCCATTTTCCCAACATTACAACCAAATGATTTATTATATGTACCTTCGGAACCCCAGGTTTCCACCGGGTTCAATTCTTACTCTGACGTCATCCTGACCAGGAGCCACAGTAGTGATAGTCTCTGTTGCCACAATTGACAACCCCAGGAGGTACTTGCCAGGTGTGGCACCCCCGACACTACCGTGTAGTCCCCCCATGAGGAAAAACACCTTGAAATAAAAAGAAACAACATATTTGTAATGATGCTGTGATGTCATAGGCCCTTCGGGCATGCGCAGTAGAATGAAAGGGTATCCCGGATGTCCTTGTTCTTGTATTACACCTAGTAATGGTGGGCTTTTTGTGAGACTTATTAAAAACCGTTGTGTTGCCATCGTTCTTGTACCCATTTGCACTACGCTACAATATTTTTATTCAAAATGCCTGTAACTTCAAGATGATGCAATGTATAAATAAATTGCTTATTAAAGCACAATGTAACACTATGTCTTAACTACAAGTTAATCTGTGCAAAGTAAACTTCAACATCAAGGAAATCACAAAATACCAAATAATTTAAATGGGAAAACACTAAAATGGAAAAATATATCAGTTGATTATTGATAGAATTCTTCCATATCTAGTTACCTCATAAGCAAACACTATCAATCTGTAGACCAAAGCTTGTATGAGGAGTTCTTCAATATCCTTTAGACTTGCATTATCATCTGTTATCAAAGTGTATTGTAACTGGGTGTATCTTTCCAAATCATCACTGAGAAAAAAAATAAACAATTTTATAGGAAGCAAGGCTGCAAATAACTAATGGGCAGTCGCCGGTCACGTTGTCCAGTCAAACATGCTTTAATTTGCTCGGACACTACCCATTTTTGGCCGGTCAAATTTTAACAGTCTGAACTCTTGCGATAGTGAACCCAGATTGCACAGTAATCCTTTTACAACTAAAAAACAACTGAATCCAAGTCAGTCTGGCAATAAAAATAACAAGTCAATAATTTTACTAGTCTTTACTGCAGAAGCAGCCTTGCATGCATTGAGTACGTGGAACGTTTACGCAAGATACAACCGCAATTGTCAGTTTTACTTTAAATCTGGAAAAATCACTTATAATTAAATATCACACTCAGCGCCCTTTTTTTTTGAGTAACAGTTGTGAATTTTTGTTAGAGTAAAAGAGTGGTCGGATTCTCCAAGTTTTGGGCCTTTTGCTCGCTTTTTGCACTTTGCAACAAATGCTACTTGGAGTATTCTCGATGCAACAAGATTATTCTTCATGAGGGTGCTTTCCAATCATTCAATCGATCAAACAACCAATCACTTTATTTAAAAGTAAATGATGGTATCTAGCCAAAGGTAAAACCCTCTACTAACTAGGAACACTTAAATAAAGTAAATAAAATAATGGAAGACACGATGATTTGCGGTCGCGACAGAACTTGATGACATCGAGGAAATTTGCGACTGCTGGGAATTTCTCGACCACTAATTTGTCTACTTTTATAATGGCTTTTTTCTTTTGGAAACATGACTGTGTCCCTTGTGATTAGCAAACAGTTAAAAATTAAAATTTCTTTGAACGAGTTGGTAAAGGACCGGACAAGATGTCCGGCAAACCAAGGATTTGTCCAGTCAGTACACAATTTTGACCGGTCATTGTCCGTTGACCGGTCGTTATTTGCAGCCCTGGGAAGAATTCATGGAGCAACATCTTCAACTTGTTCAGTCTGTTCTGAGACTGTGATTTCAAGAAGTTCGGTAATCAACCCATTCACTCCCAAGATCTTGTTAGTAATTCAGTCCTTACAGTTCGTAAAATGTTAGTTTGCAGAAGAGAGAGAGAGAGAGACCTTTATTCATTCAGGGTAGCCCATTCAGATGCCTTAAACACTGCTATCAATTGGGGCCCTAATCGATAAAAACTACGAAAAAAAACTACACAATTATAGCAAAATACTACTTCTACACGTAAATGCTACTTCTACAGGTAAATGCTATGAAAAGTTAAGTTAATCTTAAAATATGGGCTATGTGAAGTTACAGTAAAAGTGAATAAAATCTTAAAACATTAAAAATTTAGCTTGTCAAAAATTAAAGAACCATTGTAATGAAAAGAGTTTTTAGCTACATCAGTTCTAACCCTTCGCAAGTGTAACATATTCATTTGCTTCGTAATTCGATTGTGGACAGAACTGTTAAAAATAAAATAGTTTTTAAAAAATTGTGGACCACATCCTTTAATGCATCTTTTGACAAGTTCATTAACATGGCTCTCGTGTCTACTTACCTGAGATGGCCACCTAAGATAACCCAAAGCTCTGTCACTCACTAATTTTTTTAAACAATTTTGGTGGCACATCTTTCAAGAGAATTTGGTATTGGATCAACCAATAATCCCCTTCTTGATATTTTTCTTAATTCTCATCACACGTCTGCTTGATATTGTATTGGTACAGTAGGGAGAAATTCTGTGTTGATCACTCGTTGGAGTAAAATGGTTAAGTCAGTAAAAACAATTAATATACATCATTTAACAGCGGAGATTTAATTTATAAAAGAATTATGCACACTTACTAAAATATTGAGAACACAAGGACCTTTGTAAAGTAAAGAAAGATGAAATCCAGTATTTCTGCATAGACCCTCTTAGAAATAGGAGCAATCTTAACTTCACAAGCTGCAAGTAAAAAACAATGTTACAAAAATTTTGCCTTGAATAATTAACCAGATCTGTAACTGAGATGTTGGATAATTTGATATCGATGACTTAACATGTACCGCTATGGTTGAAAGAAAGAGAAATCTATACTTGCGCTTGTGCAATGGGAACTTACAGGTTGTGGCATAGTTTCTGTAGCATGAGGTTTAAGAAAAAGAATTGTTAACCTACTTCTTTCTGAATAATCTATGAATTTATAAATAGTAAATCCAATCCAATGTATTTTTTTCTCTTTCTTAATGTATTTGACATATTTTCTGTCACATATTTATTATCTTTGTTATTTGATTATCTATTTAGTTATTTTAGAGTAATATTGATGCAGCCTTGTAACTGAAAAACCCTTGTAGGGAGTTACAATAAAGTATGTATGTAAGTGTTTCTTTCCTCCCCCCTCCTACACCTCTCTTTTGACTCGCACAAGGTTTTGAAATTCTAATCTCATATCATACGATTACAACTTATTACTAAGCAACTAGAACAAAGGAACAAAATTCACTTTCACAGAGTGACAGTCACGCAGTCCATTTTCCCAACATTACAACCAAATGATTTATTATATGTACCTTCGGAACCCCAGGTTTCCACCGGGTTCAATTCTTACTCTGACGTCATCCTGACCAGGAGCCACAGTAGTGATAGTCTCTGTTGCCACAATTGACAACCCCAGGAGGTACTTGCCAGGTGTGGCACCCCCGACACTACCGTGTAGTCCCCCCATGAGGAAAAACACCTTGAAATAAAAAGAAACAACATATTTGTAATGATGCTGTGATGTCATAGGCCCTTCGGGCATGCGCAGTAGAATGAAAGGGTATCCCGGATGTC